AGAGCTTCTGCTATCACATTTACTTCTTCAAATCCAATATTATTACTTCCTATATCTAGAGAAATTAAACTTCTATTCCTATAAAAAGCCTCCATTATTGCTTTTATTCCCTCAAAACTGAGATTATTATTATAAAGATCCAGAGTAGTTAGTGAAGAATTTTTATATAGAGCTTCTGCTATTGCTTCGCCTTCTTTATTGCCAAGTTCATTACCAATAAGATTTAAAGTGGATAGTGTGATATTTTTATAAAGTGCTTCTGCAAGTGCCTTTACACCTTCAAAAGTAAATTCATTATAACTAAAGTCCATAGTGGTCAGAGTGGTATTTTCGTAAAGAACTTTTGCAAATGCTTTTATTCCTTCATCTCCAATTTTGTTCGAGTCAAGATCAAGAGAAGATAAAGTTATGTTTTCATAAAAAGCCTCTGATAATACCTTTGCTCCCTTAGAATCAAGTCCACATTCATAAAGTTTTAATGAAACTAAGCTAATATTTTTACCAAGGACATCTGCCAGTGTTCTTACTTCTTCAAAGCTAAATTTAACTACAGAAAGACTTAATGAAGTAATAGCTGTGTTTTTATAAAGTGTTTCTAATAGTATCTTTACTACTTTGCTATTATTGATTTTATAAATATTTGCATACTTAATATTTTCACTTGTACGTAATAACATTGTAATTAAAGAATCTTGAACTATTTGAACCACGTTCTCAAATTCTAAATCGTTATTGGATGCAATTCTTTCATGACTAAGCCAGTTTTTGATTCCTTTTTTTAAATCAAAGCAGCTGCTAATCGATGTAGTATAAGATGTATAATCAAATAATAGTTTTTGTTCATTTGGAAGTGTTATATTTAATGAGGTCAGTGACGCCTTCTCTTCAGCATTCAATGATAAAAGGTATATTTTCATAAGTTTCCAATCTTTACAATACAATAGTGGTTCACGCCATAATATTGGAACTACATTTCTGCACCATTGACGGTTTACAAGAAGGCATGAAAATAAATCTCTATAACTGTATTTAAGATTATTGAATATTTCAAAAAGGCATTCATTTGGTAATACTATCATTTTAAACGTTAAAAAGAAAATGTATTTAGTCTAGTGTATTCATAGTAAATAGTGAATTTACTATCCGGAGTAAACGGAGGATATTAAATGCCTATTTAATATTTGTACGCATATACTGTACGTTTTTAGCATTTGTGTAAGCAACTTGTATGAAACACCGATGTTGTTTATTAAAAATTTCTTTTTCCTGTAATTCGTTATGAAGTGGCTATGTATGGGAGATTTGGTTTGAAACCACAACCTTGATTTGAGACCATGGCAATTTAAAATGTATAAATATGATACCTAAACTAAATAAGAGAAGCAATTGAGTCAATGGGCTAATAAATGAGGTAATAACCTTAAAATACCAACTAAATACATTCCTTAATAACCCGCTATCATTGATCCCGAATCCTTTATAAACATTCATCTCGCATAACCTATGCTTTTAACCTTGAGATAATTTGACCTTGGTTACAACATAGGATATCTTGGCATTTAAGATTTAATGCTTAGCCCTTTCTTCATTTCAATATTTATACTAGTTTTTTCTACTTATGAATAAATGAAACATTTTATTGTTGGATTTAGAATTGGCATGTGAGATTTGTAAAGAAACAAATAATATATAGCATTTTGGAATCCATTCGTTATCGGTGGAAATTCAAAATGTCATTCAATCCAAGTTAACAGAAATCAATATTCACGAACCTGAATAGCTTATTAAATTAACAAATATTCTTTATACTTATTTTCTAGATTAATATTAATAGAATAGAATAAACTTTGTATATACAATGATAAACATTTCCAAACTTAGATTGCTCATGAATTGATGAATTTTTATACCATCCAATAAATCAATACGATTAAAATAAATTGTGTGATAATTTAATAGCTAATATTATGAATTAATTAGTTTATTTGGAATACATAAATGTTCCTTATACATATCCGTTATATTAATCCGAATAAAATGAAATGAAATCTATCATGCAAAGGTAAATATCCACAAACTTAAATGGCTTACTTAAATATTCGAATAATAAACTAATGCTAAAAATAAAATAAATTAGGTATTGTATAATGGTTATTATTCCCGAACTTAAATAGCTTGGCAACAGCACCAAAATGAAAAGTCTATTAGCAGTGTTTCGGCCTAAGGTTTGAAGCAATTTGGCCCTGGAGTTTTAGTATCGTCAAAATCTGAAACTTCAGAAACTGACAAAACCTCTGAATCTGGCGAACTTCTGAAAAAGGTGAAATTTCTGAAACCGGAAACCCCTCTAAAATAGATAAAACCCCTTCGAAACTAAGCGAAATTGAAACTTCCAAATTTCAAAACCTTAGACCGTAGATAGTAACTTGAAAAAGCTTCTCTAAATTAGGTGGAAAATTACAAAATATTACATTCTCTGATTCTGACCTTGAAGAGGTTGTTAATCGTGTCTATCAAGGAAATTATTTCAATTCAGGGAATTTATTTCAACCACGCTCGGATTTATGAAGATTCTATTCATGATAATTTCGTTGAAAAATTCAAATACTTTCTAAAATCCAGATTTCTCAGTAACAATTTGATAGGTAAACATTTATACTGTTGGACATGTACATTTTGTAAAAATAATATGGTTAAGGAAGAAAGGACAACTTTGAATTAAAACATACTGGCACAAAATAAATTTTAAAATCACAAAGTAAGCACCAAGCAATTTCCCACTTAAACTGACATGTAGTGCTAGTATAATTCAAGGTATAATACTCCCTTTAAACAATTCAAGCGCCTATTATACAATAATTTTTTCTTTTTATTTTTATAAATTTCTGTTTATATTTTTTTTATACACATAATCTTCAATGATTTTCAACATTTATTTGTATATTCGTCTTTATTAGTTTTATCACTCTTTATAGTTCGTCAGTTTAGTCCCTTTCATAAGTTTGTCACCTTTCGTCAGTTTCGTCATTTTATCATTCAAGATTTTAATTGACGAAAGACGAAACTAGGTTTCGCGTTTCGTCAGCGCGAACCCTCAAGGTTTCATCTAACAACTACAGTTGAGAGCTGGCACGGTGTGGGGTAAGCTTCTAATTTTTCTTTACATAACTACAAATTTTACATATAAATAATTCAATTTTTATTATTTACTTTACAGTAAACTGCTTAGTATCAATACGTAAGAATTTGAATTTAAAGTTCTCTCATTTGTTGTTATCAGTGTTTTTTTCATTTCATTATTTACTTTTTTTAAATCAGCCCTTCAAGTGTAAAGTAGGTAGTGTTTAGTGAAAGCATTATATATTACTAGTATAGTTGCATTTTTTAATTGAAATTCTTTTTATTTGCTTTAATATGTATTTTTCACCTACGCTTTTAGGACTTTTTTTTTACGGCTTTAAATCATTCTGTAATTTCGGTTTATTAAATTAATAGTACTATTTATGTATTTTATTTATATCGAACTAAATACTATGGGAGTATTCATTTAATACACGTAATAATTTATCATTATATAAAAGAGAAAATATATATGGTGTATCTGGTGCTCCTCTAATTGCCAATAAGCACAATATTAGAGCACTAATAAAGATTATGATTAGGGGTAGAAGGGGTTTAGGGTAAAATTGTGTGAGGAATATTCTTACCTTAATAAAATTTGAGATACGTATAGAAGGGTGTGCAATATGCACAATGCACCATATAACAACTTCCTTATATAAAAAATATTTATCTCTTTGTATTTATTTAGATTGATTCTTCACAACATTCTTCTTTATATACTTCAAAACCATTGCAAAAATTTAACGAACAAAAAAATAACGAGACATCAAGTATTACAAAGAATTGTATAAACCTACAGCAAACGTGACCTCTGCAATGATAGCACAAATTAGAATACGAAATCGGAGAGTACGTACATGTACGTACGTACGCAAAAAACTCTTATTTCAAAAAATCGATCGATTTTAATATGACGCATAATAGATAAATTGTTCTGACGCAACTCAAAATGACGCAACTCAATTTCACATTCAAATTTCACGCACAACATATTCAAGTGAAAAATAAATATTTATATAATGAGGTATTTGAATAGATTATTCAAGTTCGTGAATCTTTACTATCAAATAACATTTCTTATTTCATTCGAATTAATTTAGAAATATGAAAATCTTTAATTTATTAACAGTGTCCAAATTGTTGTCTAACAATACAAGTTTGCTTCTGTATACATAATTATTAAATAGGTAGCGAAGCCGTCCGCATGATCATATTTTAGTTTACAATAATAAATTTTGGTTAAATAAAGAAAATAAATTGAGTGACTAAAATTATGCAAAGTTTATTTTGACATTTTACCAAATACGAGTGAAATTAATGAAGTACTCAGGATAAGACTGAATAATATACCACAACATAATGCTAAGTGATAATATAAGCCAACCATTTTGACATTTTGCCAATTAATTCTACCCGTTTGAACAAAAAGCCACAAAACCAGAAAAGTCCCACCACCAATACTTTTCATCGACTGAACATTGTATATTGTACCACACCATAACGTACATTCTTATGAAAAAATCTCTAAAATTAGTTTCCAATGCTTATAATTAATGCTATCTATCAATAATGCAGCATGGTACATTAAAGTGCAAAAAAAGAATATACCAGTCTCAAAAGGTAAGGTGCTAACGATTTTGATTTAGAGATGTCGCTGTTAAATATGTATGTAAGTACAGAGAATGCCAAGAGAAGTAAACCAGTAACAAATTTACAACGGATCAGTGAATTCGAAGAATCAAATCCGATAATTGCCATCGTTTAATATATATATCCTGAAAACCCAAGAATTGAAATAAATAAATAGACCGTCATTGTACCTATTTTGTGAATCTGGTATTGTATTGCGACAAAAGCATAAATTACAAAAAGGGTTCTCATAGTAAATCTAAAGATCTATCATAATCCAGTGTGCATTGTGAAAATGACCAAAACCATAATGGAGCCCACAGAATACAACCAGTTAATGCAATATAATCTCTTCGTGAAATGTCAACATCATAAATACGTGAATTAAAAACTATAGAAAAACAAACAATATGTGCGAGAGACTCCCAGAAAGTAACTGGAACGCAATATATTAAATTCAATATTAATGGAAAAATGAGAATTTTGAATAATACTGATAAAGTATATACGAATAATGATATGGATATAAACCAGATTATTTTTGTAAAAGAAATAAATTCTGCAAAACGTTCAGCAATTGTGACATCCGGTAATTGTGGTAATTGACTTTGAAATTTATCAAGAGACTCTAAATACTCTGAATCAGTTAGGTCTTTTTCTTTATTGAGATATTTTCTTACCCCAAATATTTGACGATAAAAATTTTTTAAATATTCTGATCGAAACTGAATTTGTCTAAGTCTGAACGCTTCCCGCTGTTTCAAACTTTCAAAAGTTCCAAGCATTTTTATAAGAATATGATCTTTTAGATTACTAAGATGATTATAAAATTCATTTATGAATGTTGGTTTGTCGTTTGTAGCATCATTACTTTTACTTGAAAAAATACCGTGAACATTTCCAATTAGTAAAAGTAGGCATATTAAAATATATATCGTAATCCATTTGTTGTGCAAAATTTTCATTTTTTCAATTTTATAAAATCAGCTGACCAAAATTAAGATGAAAATTTAAATTTCATTAGAGCACCATGCACGAGAACTGCGTTTAAAAAGTTCAACTCCAACGTTAATCCGTTAATCATATTCATGGTCAGAATGTCAATAAACTGTATTACATACAGTGTAACGTGATGTGTACATTTATTTTTTAGAGTGAAAACATAGCTTACAAGTTATAAAAATACGTCTCACTTATGGTAATTTAAATGATTGTACGTACGTACGTACATTGAAAAGCAACTTAATGCTAAATGCAAGTCTTTTTGTATGTTCACAGTGCTTGCATAATAGGAATATATATATATATAATGATATGTATAATGCATTAATATATTGCGCTTTACAATCACGCAATTGTACAACAATCAGATCTATTCCCCCGATTAGTTCTAGAATTCTGTAATCGCAGATTCTGCGGTTTGCTGAATTTATTGAATTTGAAGAATTCGTAGTTAAACAGTATATTTCTATTGACCCGCTTTTTATTAGTGCTGAACTTGAGCACAGCTTATCAACTAATACTTGATGATTGTCTTATCAAAATTCTTGTTAAAGTATCAAATAATAACATAGTACTAACTGGATTGTCTGCAAAATCCATACATTATGCGCAGAAAATAACGATCAAAAATAGCAGATTCTGGGCACCCTAATTCTGAAGAATCTTTTGAAGTAAGAGGCAAAATTTGAAAAAAACTAGGCATATATTAAAGATAAATTAATGAAACATTTGAAACCAACAATAGATAACAAAGATCCTGAATTCTATTCTTTTTATATAATTTTTTTTATTATTTTTCTATGGCAGTTAAACATAAAGTAAAATAAGATGGTATTAAATGCAATTAGGACAGTGAAAATCATGATATTGCGTCTGGTATAGTGAATATAAAGACGATGTGAAGATCTTAGTATAATTAAAAACTTACAGTTCGATGCGTTAATTTAGAGTTCATCATTAAAAGATCCATTAGAGTTTCTGATAATTATTTTATCCCATTTGAGACCTAAAGTAGTTAACGTAACATTTCCGCAAAGTGCTTTTTCTATTTCTTTTTCTCCCTCAGAATCAAGTTGATTATCAAAAAGGAACAAGGATATCAGATTAGTGTTTTTACATAGAGCTTCTGCAAATATCTTGCCTTCTCTATTGCCAAGTCGATTTCCATTAAGAGATAAAGAGGTTAAAGCAATATTTTTACATAGAGCCTCTGCTATTATTCTCAATCCTTCAAAACCAATTTGATTATCTCCAATATTTAAGGAAATTAAAATTGTATTTCTGTAAAGTGCTTCTATTATCGCCTTTGTTCCCTCCAAACTAAGATTATTAGAATAGAGATCTAACGAGGTTAAAGAAGTGTTTTTGCAAAGAGCTTTTGCTAATGCTTTGCCACCCTTAATTCCAATATCATTACCACTAAGAGTTAAAGAAGTTATAGAGGTATTTTTATAAAGAACCTCTGCAAGCGCTTTTCCACCTTCATAATGAAATTGATTATAACTTAAATTTAGGGAGGTCAATGTGGTATTCTCGTAAAGAACTTCTGCAAATGCTTTTAATCCTTCATCACCAAGTTTATTTAAGGAAAGATCGAGAGATGATAGAGATGTATTTTCAAAAATCTCTGATAATACTTTGGCCTCCTTAGAACCAAGTCCACAATCAAAAAGTTTTAATGAGATTAAACTAGTATTTTTACAGAGAACATCAGCTAATGCTCTTACTTTTTCAAAGCTAAATTCATTTTGAGAAAGATCTAATGAAGTAATAGTAGTGTTTTTATAAAGAGCTTCTAATAATGTCTTTACTATTTTGTTATTACAAATTTTATAAATATTTGCGTACTTAATTTTTTCACTTGTCCGTAATAACATCGAAATTAAAGAATCTTTAATTATTTGATCCACATGTTCAAATTCGAAATATCTATAATAATATTCATCTAAATTACTTGGTTCATTTCCTTCACAAAGCCAATATACGATTCCTTTTTCCAAATCATGATCGTTAATCGATATAGTATAGGATGTATATTCAAATAATAATTTTTGTTCATTTGGAAGTAATATATTTAATGGAATTAATAATGTTTTTTCTTCTTCATTTAATGATAAAAGGTATATTTTCATAAGTTTTCTAAGTTTTCTATCTTTACAATGTGATAATGGTTCACTCCATAATATTGGAACAACATTTCTACACCATCGACGGTTTACAAGAAGGCATGAATATAGAAATTTAGAATTAATTCTAAGATTATTAAATATTTCGTAAAGACATTCATTTGGCAACGATATCATTATACGTAAAAGTTATTGTGTGTATGGTACGTAGCGCATTGACTATCCAGAGTTAGTAGTAGGCGTTAAAACGTCTATCTATATAAATTTGTACGCTGTATCGATCTACCTTTTTAGCATTTGTGTAAGCATATTTTGTGGAACGCAAGTAAGAGATGGGTTCAGTCGATAATCGACTCTTAGCCGGTTAGCCGATCAGCTAAAGCGGCTAATAGCCGACTATAGTTGATCGATTATTAATATAAATGTACTCTAAGAGTATATAAATGCACTCTAAGAGTATATAAATGCACTCTAAGAGTATATAAATGCACTCTAAGAGTATATAAATGCACTCTGAGAGTATATAAATTTATATACGGGCTGATTGGATATCATATGTTGATCTTTATCAAAACAATCTAATTCTGGTCAAATTTGCAGATCATTTGGCTGGAAAATCCTGGAAAATGATCTTCAAATTTGAAAAGCGTAATACATATAAGAAACCGAAAAATAAATTGTATAGTTCAGTGTTGTCACTAGAAACCACTAGAAGGTTACTGGAAGGCCACTGTAAGAAAATTAATAATGTCGCTGGAACTTAAAGTTCCAATGGCACAATTGATTTAATTTCCAGTGACAACACTGGTATAGATGTCGATTAAATTTTCTGCTGGTGTGACAAATATCTATGTGACAAATATGTCTGTGATCTGTGACTAATAACGAATGGTTTTGTTTATGTGTTATTCGTCACGCCACTATTAGTCACACATGCATTCGTCACACCAAAATGGAAAATTTTAAAGTGCCCATAACGATAATTATTATTTATATTAAAAATCTAGCATCGGTTACGATTTTAGTCGGTCGACTAAGCCGCTCTGACTGACTAGCATCGATTACGGTTATAGCTGCCGGCTAAGCGACTAAGCCGTAACCGAACCCGTCCCTACGCAAGTAGGTGTTACGATTTTAAGGATCGAAAGGATGATGGATTGAATCGCGGAATTAAGAAATGCATAGTTTTATGTAACTACAAGACAATAGTTTAATTCACGTATAAAAATGAATTTCGCAGCCGTAAATTGAATGATTTCACTTTTTAATAATTTTCAAATGAAAACAATTAAATTTAATACGTCAAACTATATCTCAAAATGCATACGCAAATAAGCTGCGAGAGATTGTTTTATTCGTAAGCTAAACCCAAACTTTTTTTATATCATTTTGTAATAAAATCTTAAATCCTTATTTAAAGTTTCTTCTTATTTAAAGGATATTTGCCTTTGTCAAAAGCCTGTAATCCTTTCTAATCTTCAAAAAATCGATCTGGAATATTTTAAATAATAAAGATTGTCCGAAGCGAAGCGGAGGACACTATGTTTTTACGACAGCAAGTGATCATCTAGATCATGTGAGAATGCAGCCCGTCCGCTTCTGTGATGCTGATTAGTAAAATATAGCGCGTATACTAGGTTAATGCACAGCTTTGTATATCCCAGTATCCGGAGCCTACAATTATCGAATATAGTCATGCATCAAAAACGTAGCTTTAGTCACGTGTGCGGACAGACATCCTTTTCAAAGTTGTTCTTGATTTATCACTATGATGCATCAACATCGTAACTTTGATGAATCAAAAACGTAACTTTTGATGCACTTTACTCGTCCATTAGGTGTCCTCCGCTACGCTCCGGACAATAAATTTTTTTTATGCTCCGGACTTATACTGGTTTCCAGTTACTAATATATATATAATACCAGATATTTGATCTTTTATTTCAATACTTATGAAAATCATGATCGAGGATTAACAAAAAAAAATTCATTATAAACTTACTCTATAATAAAGTATAACATATACTTATTTAATTATTTGTCAAAATAAGTTAAAAAGGCCAGTTTCCTGAAAATTTTCTTCCGAATTCATTATTCAGCCAATTGTTCAATGATAAATCGATCCTCGACTATTCGAAAACACCTGAACGTTACAATAATAATGATAGTGCTTTCTTTGTAACAGCTTATCATAGTAGTTTTTTGATATTTATTTCTTATTTCATATAGGAACTAACAAACCCTCTTTATTT